GGGACCGTGGTTCAATCCCCCAGCACCACATGCCAACCAGCCCTGCCCCCTGGTGGGCTGAGCTGGCCACACATACACACACACACATATAAATAAATAAAATTAAAAAAATAATAAAGCAGGGACAAGAAAAGCAAATGCATAAAATTAGTCTTAAACTTTTTAAAATTTTTTTATTTTTTATTTTTGGTGGAACTAGGGATGGAACTCAGGCCCTTGCGCTTGTCAGGGAAGTGCTTGTTCCACTGAGCCATCTCCCCAACCGGTCTTAAAATTTTTGACATAACCATCCTTCATTGTTGTGCCTAGCAAACTTCACTGTGTTATTTGTCTTGTTATCAAACAGGGAACACAACTCCCAGCAACTGCAAGGAATGCTGCTGCCCCACTGCCTATGGGAAGGAGCTCTTCAGAAGATTTCTCATTGCTTCTGTGCTTCGATGGGGAAACTGCAGAGCAAACTCAAACACAGCACTTACAGATACAGGTACAACAGAGTTTTCCTGGGGCCTCCAATTTTATCAACTCTTACAACTCTATTAACTGAAGGGAAAGCCCAGAGTGAGTGTTGGTGCTTTTCTTGCAACAGTTTGGTCTCCTTTCTTTTAGACAAGAATCAGTCACCTTAGTAGTCGATATCTGTACCCATACCTGGAGGACCTTGCATCTTGGCAATTAGTCTCAGGGTCAGCAAAGACTGCTGGCTTCAGGGTCACCCTTTATCACATTGCAATCACTCAGTCATCCTGAGCATTTTCAGAATAATGAATACCATTTCCAGCGGTGGCAGCAGTTCTCGATTTTCTTTTCCCCTCAGCCTGACCCCACTTGCTACCGTCACCCACATGTCTTGTCACCCGCATTGCTCTCCTGTCCACTCTGAAGCTTTGGGCCTCTCATTGTCCAGTCTTCTTTGGCAGGCCTGATGGAATTATAGAAGAGAGAACACAAGCTAAAACCTTCCAAGAGTATAGCCCCGCTCACATGGATGCCGTTTTCGTCGTTGCTGCTCTGAACTCAGAACTTTGTGTCTCTGGAGGAAAAGATAAGGTGAGGGTTACAGTGTTTCCCAGGAACCCACCTCAGTATGTGAATGATATTTTGAGAGGGAAATCTAGTAGGTTTGTATTTCTGGCAGGAACAAGACTGATTAGTGTAGCAGTGTAGACTTTTGTTCCCCAGGGTTGGGGAGCTAACCCAGCAGCACCTGGAGCACCTAGGAAGGTGCTCTGTCACTGAGCTACATCCCCAACCCACAAGATGGGTTTAAAGTTAGGAGGACTGGGCCAGCATCCCTACTCTGCCACTTCTTATTACTTACTGTAGGCAAGTGCTTAAATGGTCTGAGTGTCAGCTTTCTTGGTGGTTAAATGGAGATGATAAACCAACCTCACGGGGTAGTTGCATGGATTAAATGAGAGAACACAGGTAAGATCCCTAATCCTATGCTATCCCTTCTATGTGCTTGCTCTAAATGGCAGGTACTATCCCAACCAACCTGATTTTGTTACTGCAGACAGACACAGGAGTCAGCTAAAGGAATTTTCTAGTAGCTTCCTTTCTGCCTTTCTTTTGCTGAAATCTGTGCTGCTATGCATCATGATTCTTCCCCCTGTGTTCCTGTCTTGGCTCTCAGTGTCACTGTGGATCTGTCTGCCTTCTCTCCATGCCGGGAGCGCTATCGGAGCACTCACTGCAGGCTCCTGACAGCAACAGTGCTGACTTTCTGTGTTGAATGACATTAATAATGCTTCTCATTTTCAGTAGCCTTTTAGAGTCTTCAAATTTCATTTGCATATTTCATTTCCCTGGTTCTAAGATGCCTCTATTTTCAAATTTTAACACCTTTGAGATCAGGATGCACCTAAGTATCATAACTTACCTGACAGCATTTTGTCTTAAAATGTATATTGTCTTAGATGTGAGACATTGTACGCATCTCCCGCCCACCTGTGAGGAGCAAATAGGGGAGGGGTTATCTTTTCTACTTTGCAGATTAGAAACCTGGTTTTTAGGGGCTGCATCCACTGTAGTATGTGCTCTCACTCTCTAGCAATAAACCGTTGAGACTGAGCCAGAAAATGTGTTCACCGTCCCTCTTAGAAATGCTTGGAGTAAAACATGAAAGTATATACCTGGGAAGGGAGAAGAAAGAAAATGTTAAAAATTATTCTCTTTGGTATTTGAAATTATGGGTGAGGTTTTTTAAAGCCAAAAATGCCATCTTTTTCAAAATGCTGTGACTGTATTTAACTGTTTGACTGTACACTTAAAAATGGTTGCGATGATCAATTTTTTAAAAAGGAAAATAAATTCAACACAAGAGGGACAAAATAAAGCCATGTAGATCTCGCCTGCACAATCTAAGCTAGTATCTCAGGTAGAATCCATTTTCCTTGGCAGTGTTGTCCAGACCCAGGAGCATAATTTAGAGGAGTGGCCCAGTGTCTCAGGAGAGACAGGAAAGAAACGTCCAGAGCAGGGAAATGTGACGTGAGCCCTTGAAAGAGAGGGAGCTGGTTACCAGGGAGAAGTGAGGTAGGAATGAAGGGAGCGCTGGGTTTAGTTCAGTGGAAGCGGAGAGACTGAATTAACCCATTTGAATGACTCTCTACAGATGGTTGTTGTCTATGACTGGAAAACTGGAAACGTGGTGAAAAGGTTCAAAGGCCATGACCGTGAAATTACCAAGGTACCTGTCAGTGATTATTACACAGGGAATTGGGACAGAATAGAGGAATTTCTAATAGCTCTTGATATTGAGTGATTGAAACTGAAATGTGAGGTCTGTGATAGTCGAATTCATACGGACAGTGGGATGGTGGTTACTGATAAGTGCAGGGAGGGGCGAATGGTATAAAGCTTCAGTTTGGGGTAATGAAGAAGTCCTGGTGATGGTCACATAGCAGTATGAATGTACTGATGCCCCTGAATTGTGTACTTGAAGAAAGTTGGCCGGGTGTGTGGCGCACGCCTGTAATCTCAGCCTTTGGGGGGCTAAGGCAGGAGGATCACCATGAGTTCAAGGCCAGGCTCAGCTATGTAGGGAATTCAAGACCAGTATGAACCACATGGCAAGACCTTGTCTCAAAAAATAAATAAAGAGGGGGCCTGGCCCTAGCTCAGGCCTTTAAGTGGCTGCTTCCACAAAGCTGTCAGCCTCAGGTTGCTGGAGCTCTAACCTCACAACTCTCCCGCTGGCCAAAAGTGCCCTGAAGGCATTCGAGGAACCAAAATAAATAAATAAATAAATAAATAAATAAAGTAAATAAATGAAATAAAATGATAACTTTCCTATTGTGTGTATTTTACCACAGTTTTTGAAAACATGGAAGATATTAGAACAGGAAAAAAAATGAGCAAAGATATATTAGGAAAATGCAAAACAAGCAAGTTCAGGGGTTGTGAGGTCAGCAGTGAGAACTGAGAAGCATTAAATGGCCAAGCGTAGGTGCACACTTGCAATCCCATCCGTTGTGGAGGGTGAGGCAGGAGGACCAGGAGTTCAAGGTAGCCTGGCACTATACTGAGACCTCATTTCAAACCAAAACTAAATAAAACAAAGCAGTATATGGGGCAGAGACTCACTTTAAACTGATCAAGAGTGCAACAGAATCACCTGTCCTAACAGTATTAGACCTCTGTAGTTTCAAAAGAATTCTTTAAGATTCACAAAAAATAATAGATTTTCTACAAAAAGAAAGTCTTTTAAGGCATAGAGAAAAGGGACTATTTCTTAATTCTTTTTTTTATTTTTTATTTTTTAGTACAGGGTCTACAGGGTCTTACTATGTAGGTTGGACCTGCAGTGATTCTCCAGTTTTCAGCCTCCTTATCTCTGGGATTACAGGCGCGTGCCACTACACCCAGTCTCAATCACTGTCTCAGCACACCCCAGGGGCGGGGCCAGCTTGGGAAGCCAGGAATCTAGCCTTTGCATCTGCCTAAGCAGGTGCTTTAATCTGCTGAGCTATTTGACCAACCCCCTTTCTTAGTTCTTTTTTTTTTTTTTTTTGCAGAACCGGGGATTGAACTCAGGCCCTTGCGCTTGCCAGGGAAGCGCTTATTCCACTGAACTATCTCCCTGGCCCCTCTTAGTTCTTTTTATAAAGCTACCACAGCATCAGTGGCAGAATCTGACAGCACACATAAGGAAGCTGCACACCAGTGAACTTCTGAGTCTGGTGGAAGTAGGTGCAGCCTCAGATTACAGAGGGCCCGGATATGCAGTCAGGGGTTCATGGGTGCTTTCATGGTTGTGAGGGAGCCAGATTCCTGTGTATGTATTTTTCCTTTCCTTTCCTTTTTTTTTTTACATCTTTTTGAGACAGGGTGTCACTATGCAGCTAAGGCTGGCCTTGAGCTCACTATGTAGCTCAGGCTGGTCTTGAACTCACAACAGTCATCCTGCCTCAGCCTCTTGGGTGCTAGGATTACAGGTGTAGACCACCATGTGGCTCCCTTCCCTTCCTTTCTTTTCCCTTTCCCTTTTTTCTTTCTTTCTTTTTTCCTTCTTTATTTTTTTGACAGGATCTTGGTAATTCCTTATGTTGCCCAGGCTGCCCTTAAACTCATGATTCTCTTGCCTCGATCCAGAGCAGCTAGAACTACAGCTGCATGTCACTACATCTGCCCCTTCTGTACTTCCTGTCTCCCATCACTGGAGTTCAGTTTTCTTCTTCAGAGTTATCTCCCATGCACAAGCTGGCTGCTGCAGCTCTAGTCATTATATTGGCTCTGAAGGTAGTAGGAGGGAAGAAGGGGCAAGAGCAAAAGGTGCCTGCTAGGCCATTACAAAAGTTTTCCCACAAGTTCCGTTCCACTCATATATCATTGCCTCCCCTGTCTTCTAGGGAGTCGTGAAATCTGAATTTACAGCTGAACACAGTCATACCCAACAGTAGAGAGATTTTATTGTCAAGGATGGGAAAATGAATATTGGATACATTACTTACACACTGCTAATAGAACCTTAAAAACAAGTATAGCAAATAGAATCTAGTTTTTGCCTAAAAACATGACATACCATGACTAATTAAATTTTATTCTAGGAATGCAGAAATGGTTTGTTATTAGAGAATTAGTGAATTAGGGAATTGATAATGATTTTCCATGAGTAAACAAACTGCTGTCTATATTGCCTTCTGGCATTTACCAAACTCTAAGTGTACATCTCACTAGTTGGTGACTTCCCAGGTAAAGGAAAAAAACAGACAGGGTGCCCAGGAATCAGTCTGTTACTACCTTGTCTCCAGCTTGCCGGAATTACAAGGAGCCAGTTTCCTTAGGCTCTGTTCTTTATTCCTTGCTCCTTTGGTGCAGTGAACTTCAGACTCATATCACTACACAGATCTTTCTATAATTAAAAATAAATATAAAAAGGCCTCTTTTGAAACAAACTGAGCGCCATCACAACATGCACTAGGAGGCGGCATGAGGTGGCTAATGAGATGGCGCTGCATGCAAGAGTGCTAGTGACCCGGCACCCCAGGGTGCTGATGGCCAAGCCTGCAGGGTCATACTGAGATGTTCTGCAGGGGACCTGAGGGGGCCGTGTGAGGAGGCTCCTGGAGGAGAACAGGGTTTCCAGCCCCACCTTGAAGGAAGGGCGGGAGTCTGCCTCCTCAGAGGAGAGAGGTGGGAATTCAGCCTGGTTTTGCTTCCAGCCACAGATCTTAGATGTAGGCATCACACTTAAAAGGATATAGCAAGTTCAAGGCTAGCCTGGCAATGTACTATTTCATTATTTTTGTTTTGAGTTCATTTTATTTTTAAAAAATTTAAAGTACATTCTAGATATACATAGTGGGGCTGGCCAAATAGCTCAGCGGATTAAAGTGCCTGTAAGCAGGCACAGGGGCCAGGGGTTCAATCCCCAGACCTGCTCTGCTGGCCCCGCCCCCAGGGTGTGCTGAGACCACAATTGAGACTGGGTGTGGTGGCGCAACCCTGTAACCCAGCTCTTGGGAGGCTGTAAGCAGATGGATCTCTTACAAGTCTGATCTAGTAGTGAGACCCTGAACACCCTGTAGACCCTTCCCTAAAATACAAAAAAAAAAAGATATCCATAGTGATAACATCCATCATATGGAATTATACCTGTACAAGACAGATCTTCCTTCTTTTTTTCCCATTCCTCTCCCCTCCAACCCTTCCTCTGGGTAATTTAATAAGACCTTGTCTCAATATAAAAATTTCAAAGGGCTGGCAGCATAGCTCAGTGGTAGAGCACAGTGTGCGACCCTGGGTTCAGTCCCTAACATAGCGCGTGTACATACACACTGGGGTGGAGCGAGTTATTTCAGACTCAACTCTTCCATTTTAAAGTCTGGCCCTGCCAGCATACCAGAGCTGTTCTTTTTCTCCCTCCCTGAGCAGCTGGTCTGCATCCCCAGATCAAGCCAGTTCTTCAGCGCCTCTCGAGACAGGATGGTCTTCATGTGGGACCTGCATGGCTCCTCACAGCCCAGACAGCGGCTGGCTGGTCATGACATGGTGGTCACCGGCTTGGCCATGAGTCCAGGTAACATGACGCGGATCTCTTCCCAACACCAGCACCTGTGTACCTTCCCAGAACCCTGTGCAAGTCCCATCTCACGGCCTGGCTTCTTGTCATTGTTTCCAAAGACTCATCACAGTTGTGCACTGGCTCTCGGGACAACACCTTGCTCCTGTGGGATGTAGGAACAGGACAATGCATGGAGAAAGCCTGTGTCTCCAGGAACCTGGTACGAATGCACACGTGGTACAGAACAGGGCAGCAGAAGGGAGTAAGGGAAGGGAAGAGACTGGGGGCGGGCTCAGGGGTAGAGCAGGTGCTGTCAGCAGTGCGAGGGATGCTCTAGGTTTAGTTCTCAGCACAGGTGCGGGGATTGGGAGCCAAAGCCAGGCCTCAGAGCCTTGAATCCTGATTATCCCGTCCCTACCAACACCGCTGACTTCCCGTGAGCCTTGGCCTCGTGGTTTATTGTCTTAGCTGATCTCTTGATGCTTCTGCTCTAGAGAGTGAATGATTCCTCTGGTTTATATTGGAATCTAAAAATGGGGTCATTTACTCTTTCAAAATGTATCTTTCCTTCTGTGAGCCAGACACTGCTGGAACAGGATTAGCGACCAAGGAGTAGCTCCTGTCCTGCAGGAGCTCACAGCTCACATGTATTATGTGTCATAGGAGGTGGCTGGCTGCTCTCGCTGCTACATAAAGCGGCATACAGAGCAGCAAGCCTCACCTTTGCTTAATGTGTGAGTCGTGGTGGTTCTGAAGGCCAGTTGTTTTCTGGTGGTAGCCTAGTGCCGACATTGCTTGGCCTTTGGGGCAGTCATGTGTTGCTTCAGATGCGGCGTTTGTGTGAGCTTTTGTTTTTGTGGTGCTGGGGATCAACTTCAGGGCCTTGCACATGCAGGGTCAGCTCTGCCACTGAGTTACATCCTTCTCTTGCCATCTAAACGTGAATTTAGCACTCTTCAACTGTGTTATACCAAGTCATAGAAGCTCTTAGAGTCTATGTCTTCATTTATAAGACAGGGAGAATCATGTCACTACCTCATAGTCTTCTAAGTAAGTTAGATAACATGTATGTAAAATACCTGTTATTGTTATTGTGCCTGACCCATAGCAGATGTCCCTTTAGTGGTTGTCAGATTTTAGTCATAGGCATCTTTTTTAGTTTCTTTTTCTTTTCATTACTTAGGGTCTCCTCATTGAGCTACATCCCCAGCTTTTTTTATTTTTTTCATTTTTGAGATAATGTCTTGCTAAACTATTCTGGCTGGGCTGGAACTTGAAGTCCCTGTTGCCTCAGCCTCCTAGGTAGCCATGCGCCTGCATTTTTTTTAAGCTTGGTCTCTATGCAGTCTGTACTGCCCTTAAACCCACTATGTAGCCAAGGTAGGCAAGCCTTGTACTCATGGTCCTCCTGCCTCAGCCTTCCAAGTGTTGATATTACAAGCACCAACCTCTGTACATGACTTCATCTTTTCTAATTTTGAATGCAACTGTTGCTGGCAGGATGCGCTTGCCCAGACTTTCCATATTTGTGGAGGTGGCTGTGCTGAAAAAGAAAATCGTCCTACCCTGGGTGGTTTTGAAACCTGTCTCATGCCAGTCCAGCAGGGGCTGCAGTGGAAGAGATAACCATGGCACTCTCCTGAGCCATGGGGGGTGTTGGCCCAGAGCTCCTGTGGGCCTGCCCTAGCTCCAGGGCTGCCTTCCTAGAGGGTCTCCCACTGACGCACAGATGCTCCCAGGCTGCCCTCCAGCATTTGGTACATGAATGCTTAGTAGAATATTACATTGCTGTGATAACCTGGAGTGACAGGCAGAGCCTAACTCAGGTCAGGTATCTGCAGACAACTTGAATTCCTCCAAGTCTGATTTGCCACTTTAGAATCTTTTTTTTTTTTTTTTTGGTACCTGGGCAGAATCCTTGATAGATACCATTTAGTTTGCAGGAATTATAGCAGAAGAATGACTGGATAGGGAGAGGCCTTGACAGTTGCTTTTTCCAGGTCACTCATCTGTGCTGGGTCCCCAAAGAACCATATGTACTGCAGACCTCTGAAGATAAAACCATCAGGTGAGTAGAAGGGTTTCTGGTGACACTCACATGATTGTTTCTCACTTGGCTATGCCCTTTCTTGGTCTCCCACCACCCTTCCCCTTGCCAATGCTGGGATCTCTCTGGTCTGGCTCCATGGATGATCTGGGTACAGAGTGTTGCCAGGAGATCAGTGAGGAGTCAGGCCAGGTTCTGGACAATTCTGAAACAGCTGACCCAGCCAGCTCCCCCTGCTGCGGGGATCTGCTCAGACCGACCTCAAGCTCACTCACCTGTTTGTCTTGCCCTTCAGGCTCCTGGCTCCCCACCTGCTGACCCTCATGGCTCCTGGGGTCCCAGTCCCCTGTGCTCCTCAGCCAAAGCCCCCCCAGGGGATGCAAAGTCAGAGCCCCCCTCAGGGGAATCAAATGAAGTATTAGCTGTTAGGCAGAGAACATGGCCAGAAACTTTGGCTCTTTAAAGAGAAGAATGAGAATAAGAGGTAAAGTGAGACCAGGAGAAAAATGAAACTCTCCTGTGGCCTTCAAGGCTGAGGTTGGCCAAAGCCTGTAAATCCTTTGTATCTGCCTGTGGAATAATGATGACTATCCTCTATATCCTAATAAGTATTTAGAAAAAATTAAATTACAGGCACAGAAGTAACCACTGAATATGGGCGCCCACCATGTGGCCCCGGAACAGGAGTGGTGGTACATGCCTGTAATCCTAGCACTTGGAAGGTTGAGACAGGAGGGTCTCCTCAAGTTCAAGACCAGCCTGGGGGCTACAAAAAAGTGAGCACAAGCCCAGCCCGAACTGCATAGTGAGACCCTGTCTCAAAAAGAAAAGAAAAAGAAAAAACATTGAAAGCAGTATCCTGAAGAAGCAAATTTTATTTAATTTTGTTTTGGCAGTACCAGGGATCAAACTTGGCACTTTGTGCTTTTCAGACAGGTGCTTATGCTGCTGAGCTATCTCCCCAGTCCTCCTGAAGAGTCAAAAATTAACTTAAACAGTTAGAATGTGTGGTCTAAATTCTTATTAGAATTTAGATCTCAAAATAGAACTCAGATGTCATTTGATTTGGTTACATCCTATTAGCTTTAGAAGGATTTTTTTTTGGAGGGGGTTGCTGGCTCAGGAAGCCTTAAGGGCAGGTCTGGTAAGACATGAGAATCTGGGGATCAAACTTCAGCATCCTGAGGCTGGCTGCTTTGCTTAAGCAGGCAGTTAAACAACTGAGCTAATGGCCAGGCCCCCCCTTGTTAGCTTTAGAGTGAGAACATGTGCTGGTTCAGGCCACACTGTTTAAATTGTGATGTTTCATTCTGACTGGCCTAAGCAGCAAAGAGCCAAGGCTCTTGTGTGGGTGGGATATTAAGGCCTGCTTCAGGCATATCTACTACAAACTCATTAATTGCTTTTATTTCTTTCAGATTATGGGACACTCGGGGGCTGCAGGTGGCCCATATGTTCCCCCCGAAGCAGCACATTCAGACCTACTGCGAAGTCAGCGTGGATGGACACAAGTGTGTTTCTTGTAGCAGCGGCTTTGGAGGTGAAGGCTGTGAAGCCACGGTGAGAGCTTGTGGGGCCCGGGGGCTGGTTGCTGGTGAGCGGGGCGCTCCCTCTGGCCCCACGAGCTTAGCCCGGCAGCTGTGCTGATGGCCCGGGTCTCCTCTGGGTGCACGCGAGAGATCCTTCACTTTCCAGGTGCTCCTGTAAGAAGTATCCTTTGACCTCGGGCTCTTTGTAGTGGTTACCAACAAGAAAAATGGGATGAGCACCAAGATGAAGAAGTGCTAACCTGGAACCAGCCTGCCAGTGGCTTTTCTGGGAGCAGAGCTTAGATCAGGGAGGGGATATTTTTTTTTTTCTTTTTGAGACAAGGTCTTGTTATGTGGTTCAGGCTACCCTGGAGCTTGCTTTGTAGCCCAGGCTGGTCTTGAACTCGCAACGACCCTCCTGCCTCTGCCAGGGAGGGAATGCTTTAAGAGCATTTGTGTTCCTGTTGCACATGTGGCCATGGGAAGGAAGTTCAAGTTTTTAGGGAATGTGGAGCTTCAGTGTTGGCCATATACTTTTTCTTTTCTTTCTTTCTTTCTTTCTTTCTTTCTTTCTTTCTTTCTTTTTTTTTTTTTTTCTCGGAACCTGCGATTAAACTGCCCTTGCACTTGCCAGGCAAGCACTTATTCTACTGAGCCATCTCCCTGGCCCCTATATACCTTTTCATCCTGCAGTTACACGGCAGGATAGACCATCTAGGCTCCTCTGCAGTGCCTTACATTTATGTTTCTAAGATGTCTAATTTTCAAATGAACAATTATCACTCCCATTTTATCCAGTACTTATCATGTGTCGAACTCTGGGCTGAGCACATTACATGCACTATCTCATTTAATCCTTAAAACAATCCTGTGGGGCCAGGGAGATTGCTCAGTAGAATAAGCGCTTGCCTTACAAGTGCAAGGGCCTGAGTTCAATCCCCAGTTCTGCCAAAAAATAAATAAACAAAAAATATCCTGTGAGTTAGATCTTGTTGTAACTCCGTTGTACAGACGAGGAAATAGAGGCATACTAGGTTGAAATCTCTTGAATGTGATTATGTCCCTGGTAGGTGGTAGATCATGGTATAGATCAGACTTCAGTTGCAGCATCTTTAATCCAGGATAATGGATGAAGCTAGAAGACTATGGGTGACCTGCCCTGTATTCTTTCTTTCTTTGCAGTTGTGGGACCTACGGCAGACAAGAACCAGAATATGTGAATATAAGGGGCACTTCCAGACAGTAGCATCCTGTGTTTTTCTACCAAAAACATTGGCCTTGATGCCTATGATTGCTACCTCATCCCATGATTCCAAGGTGAAGATTTGGAACCAAGACACTGGAGGTAAGGGGCCTGCTACCGCTGCTCCCTGGTGCATATATGAAGGCTCAAAGCCTTTATTGTTCTTCATATGCACAATCACCTGGCAGCCTCTGCTGCTGCCTAGTCCCCTAGTGGGTAAGAGGTGACACTGAGATGCCAAAATCGCTCTGGTCAGCCCTGCTTCCGGTACCAGGCCAATCTTCTGGCACCTTGATGTGTAGACTCACTCTTTTTTTAAAAAAATTATTTATTTATTTATTTATGTGTGTGTGTGTGTGTGTGTGTGTGTGTGTGTGTGTGACCAGCTCAGCCCACCAGGGGGCGGGCTGGCTGGCATGTGGTGCTGGGGGATTGAACCGTGGTCCCTGTGCTTTGCTAAGCTTGTTCCAAGTAGGTGCTTTAGACCACTGAGCCATCTCACCAGCCCCTAGACTCACTCTTGAGGACTTACAGCAGTGGTGGGAACCTGTGGCATGTGTGCTTGTTGTCAGTGAAGGTTCTAAAGGATTTGCCACCATGGTCTTCAATGAAATATATTTGGCCCTTCTGTTCTTTCTTCCTGAAGTTCCTCATCAGGTTTTAACTTGTGATGCTCAAAATTCCTAGAAAAGGGAACAAGAATTACCACTGTTGAATTTGATTTTCAAGGATTAAAACAAGCGCTTCCGTTTCTGGCAGGGTTACAGAGGAGTAAGGACAGTCAGAAAGCTTCAGGCTGGACTCCGAAGCTGAGGCTTAAGATCACAGGGAAGTCGAGACCTTTCAGAGCACCGGAGAAATAACGGTGTCTCATAGAATAGGGCTCTCCAGACTCCTCCATGTCCTGCTGCTGGTTGATTGCTGAATATTCAGGAATTTATAAGCTGTTTATTTTTTTAACTTTTGTTATGGTGGAGGTATTTGTACCATGGAAATTGGCAAGTGTTATAAATAAATGTTAGGAGGTTTTTTGTTTAGTTTTTTTGGCGGAACTAGGGATTGAGCTCAGGTCCTTGTGCTTGCCAGGGAAGCGCTTATTCTACTGAGCCATCTCCCTGGCCCCCAAAAGCTGATTTCCAAACACCCAGTTGCCTTTATGATATGCTGTCCTAGGCACAAGATTCTGCTGGAGACAAGAATAGTGTTTAGAGAACTTCAGCTCTTTCCTATGGTATATTCCGGAACCTCAGTTTCCCCAGGGAGACAGGAAAAGGAAGTGGGGCTGTGTCCAGCACTCTGCAGTCATGGCCTCAAGCCGATCCTCCTTGGTAACCCCAGGCCTGGTGTACTGCCACCTAGCATTGCTTTTACAGCCATAATAGTGGTTGCAGCTGGAGAACAGACGTTTTAAATTTGATGGTCGTGAACCTATGACCAGAGAGAGTACTGACCTGAGCAGAGGGGGCAAAGGCCCTTCCCCCGGGGCGTGTACCCAGAGTTCTTGGAGTAGCAGTCTCAGCGGTGCAGATGGAGAGAGGCTGGGTTAGCTGGGAACTCCCAAGACTTACCTCAGGTCCCCATTCTTTATCTTGAAGGGAGCAGGCAGTGGCAGATCTGGCCTCCTGCCTCTGTCCTGCCTTGTTCTCCGGGCAGGTGACCTGGGGCACCTTGTTAACATGTGTTCAGCAGGGAAGGGCCCCACTGTTGGGTGTGCTTCTCCATGGTGTAGATCTTCTGCCTGGGTGCCATTCTCTGCGATGCAATCGTGGAGCAGGCCGCTCTCCTGTGCTCTAAGTAGGCACAGCACACGCTGTATTCCTCAGGCTTCTCATGAGGACATGGTGTTCAGGATACAGTCACACACTGCAAAATGATGGTCAGTCAACAATGGACCCCATAGGTAGAGGCATATGCCACACAGCCCCAGTGTGTAAGAGGCTGCATCACCTCAAGGTGTGTAAGGGTGTGTATGCGCTTCAATATTGCACAATGATGACATTACCTAACGATGCATTTCTCAGATGTGTCCCATCGTCTGGTGATGTTGCCTGTCACACACTCCTGGCCTAACCTCCTGGTGTCCCTTTCCTCCCCCAGCCTGCCTTTTCACTTTGTCCCTGGATGGCTCTGGACCCTTGACGTCCCTGGCAGTTGGTGATGCCACCTCCTTATTATGTGCAAGTTTCAACAGAGGAATTCACTTACTCAGAGTGGACCACAGCAGAGGGCTGGAACTGCAGGAAGTGGCAGCATTCTGAGGCCCAGGGGCATTAACTGGACAACACGAAACTGCAGCCTCTCCTTTCTCTATGTGGCACTGTGTGTTTCTATGGTGTCTTGTGGGGACCAGAACATAGTCCTGACATTCTTTGCCTAGGTTTATTAGAAGGAATATCAGTGTTAGAAGTCAATTTAAATTCTTCACTTCAAAATCAAGTATAGAGGGCTGGCCAGATAGCTCAGTGGACTAAAATGCCTGCTTAGGCAGAGCGCAGCAGCCGGGGTTCAATACCCAGTGTGCCATGACCCAGCCCTGGCCCCACCCCTGGGGTGCACTGAGACAGCAAATGAGACTAGGCATGGTGGCACGCCCAGTGCTTAGGAGGCTGAAAACAAGAGAATCACTAGGAGTTCAGTCTATGTAGTGAGACCCTGTAGACCCTGTACTAAATACACGAAAGAAAGAAAGAAAGAAAGAAAGAAAGAAAGAAAGAAAGAAAGAAAGAAAGAAAGAAAGAAAGAAATTAAGCTCCAGGTGCTACTCCTCAGCAATGTGAAGAATCACAGTTACAACAAGAAAGCCAAGGTCTTGGCTTCTCTTCACTACAGCAGAGCAAGCCGTGTGTGGTGAC